CCTTCCTGCTCCTCTGATGCTGCTTGGCCTACTGTGTTCATCCAGCTCTGCACCTTGTTACCTTTAACAGCCTAGTAGTTTGTTCGTATTGGCAATGTCTGTGGAGAGAAAGCAGAGTTAACTTTTTAAATTCAGTGACACTTCTTCAGAACAGGGGTTCACCAGATTTGAAAAGCTAACTCTGCTTTCTCTCCACAGATGCTACTAGGCCTGAGATTCTTCAACAATTTCTGCTTTTGTTTCAGATTTTCTGCATCTGCAGTTCTTTGTTTCAAATCTTTAATATTGTCCTGTTGACAGTGCAGGAGTCTGACAGTAATGCCCTCTCACAATGCAGCACTCTCTCAGTACTGAGCCCGATAGTTCAGCATTCTCTTAGTACTGCCCAACCCCCAAGAGTGCAGGCTCCTACAGCACTGCCTCTCTGACAGTGCAGTATTAACAGTATTTCAGTATTATGCTGACAGAAAACCCTCCACTTTGACAGCACAGCACTCCCCCAGTACTGAACCTTCGACAGTGCAGACTCCCATAGTACTGCTTATCTGACAGAACTGCACTCCTTCAGTACAGGCCTTCCAATGATGCTGCACTCATTACTGTCTCTCTGATAGTGCAGTGTTCCCCTCTGTACTGACCCTCGGATATCATGGGATTCCCATGGTACAGACTTTTAAAACAGTCAGGACTGCAACAGAATGTTAGCCTGGATTTTGTGCTTAAGACTGTGGTGAGAGACTGAATGAATAACCTTTTGACTGGGGTGACAGCTTTTCAGGATGTTTTTGATTGGAATCTGTTACAAACAGGGTAGCCAAGTCTCCAGGAATGCAATCTCAAACTCCTGGACAACTATTTATGGAAAAATAAAAAATCATCAGGTAGTCAAGAATGATTTAGTAATAAAAATATTGGACATGTCTGCTTGACAGGACAAGGTGCTTGGAGGAAAAAGGTCACGTGACAACACCTGAATACGCTTGGATTTGGCAAATATCGCTACAAGGAAACACATTGAGTGGTTGAGGAAGCAGAGTTTAAGTCATTTATGACTAGTAACTCAGCCTGGAAATGTGATCGCCTGAAAATTCTGCAGTTCTTCATAAAATACCCACAGGGAGATTGTTCCAGTGAGGTTATCCATGGTGTTTCCAAGGAAAATGATACAAATGAACTGAAAGTTGCATGCTCACACCTCCATCAGCTAAACAGTCATTCACTGCCTTGTGATTTCACTGCACAACACATGTATGGATTATAAATTGGCCTCACTCAAGTACACTTGACACCATAAAGAAACCTGCAGTTCATCATGCACTTAACGCCAAATTTCTTACAACCTTAAGGCTGTCAGCAAGCAGTTACTTTCATTGTATGACATTCTACTCGAGGCGTGCATGTAAATGAAAGATGAGATGTGGAGGTACTGGTATTGATCTGGGGTGGACAAAGTCAGAAATCACACGACACCAGGTTATAGTCTAACGGGTTTATTTGAAAACAAGCTTTTGGAGCCTCAGTCGTTCTTCAGCTGTTAGTGAGAAAGGTAGTATCAGACAAAGAATTTATAAAAATCAAAGGTTCACACCACTGATGATGATGTACAGAACAAACCTAAGATGCTGTTAAATCTTTAAATCAGTTGGAAGGTTTTAATTGATTAATATGTATATGTAAATCCCCAAACGCCTTTCAAGTCACTGACCTAAGAGAACTAAAGGTTTTATTCGTGTCAAGAAGAGGTGATATTTTAGGTCAGACAATGCATGTTAGGTGTGAGGCCTTGTTTAGAATCTGTTTGTGTTTTGGTTTGGAGTCAGACTGGTTTTATTTCTAAAATCGGAATTTATAAAAACGCCACACTGACTGTCTGTCTATAAATTATGTGCTTTCAAACCAAGACACAAACAGATTCTAGGCAAGGCCTCACATCTAACATGCATTGTCTGACCTAAAATGTCACCTCTTCTTTACACTGATAAAACCTTTAGTTCTCTCAGGACCGTGACTTGAAAGAAAATCAGGGATTTACATATACGTATTAATCAATTAAAACCTTCTAACTGATTAAAGATTTAACAACATCTTAGGTTTGTTTAGTCCATCATCAGTAGTGTGAACCTTTGATTTTTTACTTATAAATTGTGTCTGAAACTGCCTCTCTCACTAACACCTGAAGGAGGACTGATGTTCTGAAAGCTAGTGTTTTCAAACAAATCTGTTGGACTATAGCCTGGTGTTGTGTGATTTCTGATGAACTGAAAGATCAAATTGATCATGTGAACCTCGCTTTCACATGCACTGATATTTACTGTTTATTTCTCCATACGAATGATATTATCAGGTGAATGCTAGGATCAGATATGAACAAAACTGCAAGCTTTCTATCTTATGTTAGCTACGGCTCAGTGGGGAGCAGTTTCACTGCAACTATCTTCATCCCAATCCAAAAATCCAAGCTGACACTGCAGCACTGTATTGAGGGACTGCTACACTGTCAGAGTTCCAGCTTTAGGATGGAACATTATACCAGATGGATGTAAACAAATTGCATGGCATTGTTTTTGAAGTTAGCAGAGGAGCTTTCTCCTGGGTTGATATTTTGCCATCTTTTGCACTGACTTCCATTAAGCCAGGTCTCTCTCAAACTATCACTCAACACAATCCAAATCAAGGCACAATACTAATTACGAAAAATGTAAATAAACTGTGCAAAGAGGACAGTACTCACAATGTGTAATGTGTCACTGTTACATTTCAGGCCATGGAACGAAATGACGTAGTCGATGGTAGTATGTCTCAGGCTAGACCACCAACGTGCAATGCAAATCTCAATGGTCTTCTCTTCCTACAAGAATTAAAAGGTTATAGCAACACACCAGAGTCAGTGAACCTTTCAAAACCTTCATATAGTAGACTGCTCAACAATCAAATATGAGAAGAAAGAATAAGTCACAGGCATCCAACAAGTTTTCAAAGCTTTGGAGGAATTTTTCAAAGAAACGTCTCACACCAATAATGTAAAATAGAAAGCCCTGAAATGAAAATCAGAAATTTAGCCCAGCGAGTCCACCCTAACCCTCTGAACAGCATTCCACCAGACCAACACACCCACCCCCTCCACCCTATCCCTATAACTTTGCATTTGACCTAATTAATGACTAATTCACCAAACAGGCACATCCCTGGGCACTACGGGCAATTTAGCACGGCCAATCCACATAAATTGCACATCTTGTGGGAGGAAACTGCAGCACCCAGAAGAAACCCACACAGAAACTAGGAGAATGTGCAAACTCCACAGAGACTGTTGCCTGAGAGTGGAATCTAAGCCGGGTCCCTGGCGCTGTGAGGCAGCAGAGCTAACCACTGAGTCTCTCTGCCATTCTATTCGATTCTATTTGTTCTGTTCTCCCTCATTCAGTCTTCTCAACGTTATGCTTGACTTTTCTGATGACTTCTACTGCTTTGATGAATTGAGTTTCTCTGGGTCCCCAACTAATCTCCTTTCACAGAAGTTGCTGGAAAAGCTCGGCAGGTCTGGCAGCATCTGTGGAGAAAAAATCAGAGTTAATGTTTCGGGTCGAGTGACCTTTCCTCAGAACTGAAGAAGGGTCACTAGACCCGAAACGTTAACTCTGATTTTTTCTTCACAGATGCTGCCAGACCTGCCGAGCTTTTCCAGCAATTTCTGTTTTTGTTCCTGATTTACAGCATCTGCAGTTCTTTCAGTTTTAATCTCTTTTCACCTGATGTCATTCAGTTCCCAACTTCTCCAAGCTTCATCAGAACATTAATATATCCATCGCCACTCTCTTCCATCTAGATGAACTTATTTTCACTGTCAACAGTTCTCTTACAACTTTACACAATTCCATTTACCTGGCAGCCAGTTAATGCTATTATTCCAATCTATAAACAGGTCCTCCCCAACCTCCTTTCCCATTGTATCTGCGATTACATTCATACAGAATGGGCTACAAATGTGTTAGCCAGCGAGGCCCGCGTCCCCCAAGTCAATTAAAAAAAAACACAACTTCTCTTGTTCTTCAATTTCCTCTCGTCTTCATTTCTAAAAGGTCTATCTCTCACTTTTTCAATGAATTAAATCACGTGTACAAATCAGAAAAAGTGGACCATGCTGGAATTTTGTCATGCAAGAGCTTCCTTGTATTCCAATCTTTTTTGCCTAATGCGCTTAACTTGTAGTTACCCCGATATGCTATCCATGCCCTTCAGCTTAACTACTCCATGGTGATCCCTATTTTTGGGAAAAGGGGCTTTTACCTGAACTCCCTATGGGCCCAACTAATGGAAATTTTCTCACAGAAGTGTAAATGCACAGAAGGAGGCCAATCGTGCCTTTACTGATTCCGTTATCCAATGTTAATCTCCTGCCTTTTCTCCATATCGCTGCATACCAGTTCTATCCAAATAATCATCCAATGGCCTGTTGAACGCCTCAATTGAACCTGCCTCTAAGCAGTGCATTCCATACTTTACCCACTCGTTGTATGAAAATGCTTTTTTCTCACATTACCCTTGCTTTGTTTGCACATGATTGTTTTCTCTACATTTACCCTATCTAAACCTTCCATCATCTTAAAGCCTTCTAAGAGGTTGAACTGCAGTCTTCTTTTTTCGAGAGAAGGGAGATGTAGCCAGTTCAGCCTTTCCTGATAACTGGACACTCTCAGTTCAGGTTGTCAATCTCATGAATCTTGTCTGCACCTTCTTCAGTGTCTCCATGTTCCTTTGAGGTATGGAGACCAGATCTGTGGACTATACTCCAAGTGTGGCCTGAACAAGGTCTTATAATGAGTTTAAAATGACCTCTTTACTTTTCAAATCTATTTTTTTTTTCCTGGAATTCTCCATCTCTGAGTTTTGATTTGTTATCCACCCACATAGAAAGGAGCTATGGGGTCCATCAGGTCTGTGCTGGTTATCTTCCCCCAAGAACTGTCTCCTGTAATTGCCACTTTTCTGTTCACTACCCAGAGCGTATAATATTCCTTTTAAAACAAATTTCTCATGTCATTTAAAAAGAATTTATGGACTCTGTTTCACAATCAGTTTGTTGCAGAGAACTGCACATTCCTACCATCTTCTGTGTAAAGCTTCATTCTCCATGTACCACCTCCTTGACATGTTTATGACAATCTAAAATCCATCTCCTTCTTACTCTCTCACAGGCCAGTGGAACTAATTTATCATTATACTTCACATGGTAATCATTTTGGGAAGCTTATGCAATTTAAACTCAATTAACGAATCTAGAATATAAAGCTAATCGATGCAGACCATGTCTATCATCAATTATTACAAAAACCTATCTAGCTCATTAATACCCTTTAGGGAGGGAAATCTACCATCATTACCTGGTCTGGCCTACATGTTACTTTAGACTCAACATTGTGGTTGGCTTTTAACTGGCCTCTGAACTGATCGAGCAAGTTACTTAATGCAAGGGCTGAACATGTCTGTATTCCCAGTCTGAGGTTTGTTGCACATTCATGCAATGTTGTGTAAATGCCTTCATCATCTTCAAGACTTTCTGTAGCCTCTGAGGGTAGCCTGTGATCAGATGGCTGCAAGGAGCGGTTCATGGATGCAGAGAGTTGAAATTTCTACTCATTATCTAAATGATAATAAAATTGCAGGCTCCTGATATTGCCCTGGCACTCCCTGAGAATGCTGCTATCTGCATGCATAGCTCAATCCTGGACTGGAATGCAACCAAAGTGTGTGTCTCTCTCTCTCTTACACGCACACATACACACTCACACGATGGTCTATATAGTGTGTACATATTTCTTGTCGCTACTTTTAATTCTTCCCAGTACAATGATGTATGTTTCTGCCTTGATCCAAAAACATGACCTGCGATCATCACTGATGCTGCTGTACTTACAAGGACTGGAAAAGCATCAGCAGCAGAGGCCTTTTCTGACAAGTACAGGTGACGGTAGAACTCATGCACCCGAAAAGCCATCTGTTTCTGCAGCTGGATAGTATGTACCACAAACTCAGAGGTTGTGTCTTCCGATTTTGAAGTCAGGCTTATTTCTGAAATTAAGAAAGACCTCAGTGAGGCATGATGAGTTAACATAACACAGCTGTTTTTTGGGGATGATCTGGCACTAGATAAACTGCCCAGAGTTGCCAAAAGCTTATGCTGCCTTCGTTGGTATATGGAGTGCAGCTTTACATTCTCTAACAGAGAGTTACTAACTGGAAGGTCAGCTGAAAACATTTACACATGCTACTATATAATGACTGTCCCAGGTGTGGCTTGCAAATAGCAAAGCGCTCCCAGGGACCCCGTGTAAATACTGACACACTCTGAGGGCCCCATGCAAATATGGACATGCTCCCACATACCCTGTGTAAATACTGAAACACTACCAGGAATCTCTCATAAATACTGCCAGTCTCTGCAAGGCGGGTGAAGAGAGAGTGAGCTTTTAATTAGTCAGTTAGTCCCACTACCTTGCTTTATATATCTCGTAGCCCTGAAAACTCTTCCCCTTCCAAGTATTAATGCAAATCTCTTTTGGAAGTTATTATTGAGTCTGCTCCCTTTTGGGACGAGCATTCTAGTTCACAACAACTGCAATGAATGGATTGCTTGCCTAATCACCAGAGAGAATTCATTTACACACGAACATTTTAAAAGCTTGCTGAAACATATGGCAATGACCAAAAACATTAACAATCACTAAGTATTTCACAAAAAAAAATGCATATTCACACCTTCCAAAGCAAAGCGCATCTCAATCACTGCTGCACCAAATTAAGCATTTTTCTTCCCCTGCTGCCCCTCTGTCTTATATCTGCAACAATATCAGGCACAGACACAAACTTAATTGACTTAATGCCATTGGCAGTGCCTTCACCACACAGACTACTAAAGTTCAAGATGGTAGCTCATAACCATCTTGTCGAGTACAAGATTGCAATGGGCAATAAATATTAACATTTCCCAGCAATATATTTAATAAATAATTTGCAGAGGCGTTCTTAATCTCATTGTTGCTGTATCAATTTTCTATATCTTTTCATATTAAGTTCATTATCAATGCAAACTGTTAAGCTTCCCAGGATTGTGACACCTACCAGCCCAGGTAGCTCCTTGGGGCACTTCAATGAAGTGTCTTCTGATCTCTCCAGGCTTGAAATGTACATTTTTTTGCACAAGTTTGTATTCAGTACCTGCATTTACACTATATCACAGATGCAAGAAAGACAATTAGAACAATTTCATTACCTATAACTGCAATTAAGTGACACATTTCCTTTCTTGGAGAATTCGATACCTGAGCTCCACCCGCTCCCAAGTATGGCATAATTAATATTAACCATGATAAGCAAAAGCTCAACAGTTTCTACAGACCAGGTAAGCATATGCCTTCTTCCAAAATATAATAATTTGAGATACATTACAAGATAAATTTGAGACAAGGTGTGGCGAGTGTAGCCTGATTTTGAATGTATGGTTCTCAGAGCTCTCCACCATTGGGAATTTCCTTAGTTTCATGTCTGGGTGTTGCAGACTAATAGATAGGAATTGATTGCTGCACTTAGTCAACAACTCCATTATTATCGTAATTATACGACTGCCAGGATTAGTCTTGGTCTTTTTTCCCTCATTCAGCAAATTCTGATGTTCCTGGTTGGATCTATTGCTAGTTACTTCTGGGACACCTCCAGCTCTTCGACTCTTTGATCTTTAAAGGGGACATTGACAAAGGGGTCAATGTATGCAAGATGGCTACAGAGTAAGATGCTGCAGCCAGAGCTCCTCTGCTTGCCAGTCCCTGTTCCTTTTCTTTTCTCTTTCCCTCTTTGTTGCAGTTTTTCTTCCCCCCAATCCAATTTTTAACTTCTTAAATTTGCCTACCTGGAGGGAATGGCGAATGGAGTGGGACGTGAGTCGCGGCCGGAGCCCAGGGCAGGAGCAGACCAGGCCTGGGCCAACCTGGGAGGCGAGTCCCAGAAGCGAGTTGCATCCAGAGCCCAGAGTGGGAGCAGAGAGCGTGGGCCGAGTCCCGGAAGTGAGGCATGGCTCGAGACCGGAGCAGGAACAGAGCGAGCGTGGGGCAAGATGGGAGCCAAGTTGCGGGCCGGAGGCAGGAGCAGTGAGCCCAGGCCGGCCAGGGAGTGGTCCTGAAGGCGAGTCTTGGACAAAGGCCTGCTTGTAAAGGCAGCTGGGCCTCATGTTTTGAAGGTCGGCAGGCATAGACTCAGTGGTAAAGGACTATAATTTGAGTACTTTAAAGATACTTTTTATTATCATTCTGGACTTTTTAAACTCTGTATTCCCATGCTAGTCTATTTTTTCCACTATTTCAATATTTAACAACACTTAAAGTATCTGTACCGAGGTATCCTTTACCCAAGATGGTGCTGAGAGGTGACATTACAGACTTTTCACTGCACTCATTCGACTGCACATGATAATAAAGGCTATTCTATTCTATTCTATTCTGATAGCAAAGCTTTCTCTCTTTGATCACTAACTCAAGATTATTAAAATTATTTCAGAACTAGTTCTCACGGCATGTTAAGTTCAGGAACATTTTCTAAGCCAATGCAATTTTTGTGTAGCTGTTTATAACAGTAATTATTGCTGGTCTTTCTATCACAGGACTCTTCCCAAAGGAGCTTTACAGCTTATGAATGTGCAGATCAATTGTCTGGCACATATTTCTAAAACCGGCAAGGAACTGGGCAGGAAAATGAGAGAACTCTAAGGGACTATAAGATATAAAGGATTTGGCTAAACTATTAAATGAGGACAGGGCATATGTCACCACAAAGGAAGGATGATGCAAGTGCTACGCTAAAAGAGAGAAAGTTATGAACAAAATAATAGATAGAGAGGATGTACTAAAAAGCTTAATATTATTGGAAGTCTTTCAATCTGAATGAGATGCATTCTTGTTCACTGAAACTACACTGGACACAATCTTTCAATCCTCAATGGAAACAGAAACAGTATCAGAGGACTGAGGAGTTGCTAATGTTACACCATTATTGAAAAGGGAACAGAGCAAACCAGAAAAGTTCTTGGAAAACATTATGAGGGACAAAATCAGCTTTCCTTTGCAAAGGCAATGTAAATCAAGAAGGGCCAGCATGGAACTGTTAAAATCAAACTGTCTAACATGACCGACTTCCTTGTTGAGTTAACAGAGCAGGATGTTCAAAGAGGTAAAATAAAACAGAGAACTGCAGATCGTGGGCCCTCTTGTTTCCAGCGGCAGCAGCGCGAGCCAGATTGCTGACGGGAAGATAAGGCTGTTTTTGTTTCTCCCTGTATAAAAACTTACCTCGTGCAACAAGTGGCCCTCTTGTTTTCAGCGGCAGGTGTGTGGAGGGAACGCGAGGAAGGAAGAAACAGATAAATTCGGGCATTGGCGAAACATGAAACACTACATGTGTAGTGTCTCCCATCCATCCTCCTCCTCTTACCAAAAAAGACTGTGTGGAGGGTGGGTAAGGTAAGGATTTTTTTTTTTATTCTTCTTCTGGAAATCTAGAGTAGAGGGAATGGAAGCTAGGGCAGTTGCATGCTCCTCTTGCAGGATGTGGGAGGTAAGGGTCACTGCTGGTGTCCCCTCCGACTTCACCTGCGAGAAGTGCACCCAACTCCAGCTCCTCCAAAACGCTTTAGGGAACTGGAGCTGGAGCTGGATGAACTCCGGATCATTCGGGAGGCTGAGGGGGTGACAGAGAGGAGTTACAGGGAGGTGGTCACACCCATGGTACAGGAAAAAGGTAGCTGGGTGACTGTCAGGAGGGGGAAAGGGAATAGGCAGACAGTGCAGGGATCCCCTGTGGCCATTCCTCTCAATAATAAGTATACTGTTTTGGATACTGTCGGTGGGGGGGGGTGGAAACGACCTACCAGGGGAAGGCCATAGCGGACAGGTCTCTGGCACTGAGCCTGACCCCGTGGCACAGAAGGGAAGGGGGGAGAAGAGGACAGCAATTGTAGAGGGGGATTCAATAGTAAGAGGCACAGACAGGCGGTTCAGTAGATGCGAACGAGATGAACGGACGGTACGTTGCCTCCCGGGTGCCAGGGTCTGTGACGTCTCGGATCGTGTCTTCAAGATCCTTAAGGGGAAGGGTGAGCAACCAGCAGTCATGGTACACATCAGTACCAATGATATACGTGGAAAAAGGACTGAGAATGTGAAAAACAAGTAAAGGGAGTGAGGTTGGAAGCTGAAATCCAGGACAAACAGGGTAGTTATCTCTGGATTACTACCAGTGCCACATGATAACGGGGTAAGAAATAGGGAGAGAGTGCAGATAAACACGTGGCTACAGGGCTGGTGTCGGAGGGAGGGCTTCCATTATGTGGATAATTGGAGCACATTGTGGGGAAGGTGGGACCTGTACAGTAAGGACGGGTTGCACCTGAACCGGAAGGGCACAAATATCCTGGGTGGGAGGTTTGCTCGAGCTGTACGGGATGGTTTAAACTAGTTTGGCAGGGGATGGGGAACTGGATTTATAACTCAGAGGATGAGGTATTCGGCCTTCGGCCTTCCAACAGACACAACAGGGAGTGAGGTGGTTTATAAAGAAATGCGGTCAATGGAGCGTAATTGCGGACATCGAGATGGTTTGAGGGGTATATACTTCAATGCTCGAAGTATCAGAAATAAAGCGGATGAAATTAGAGCATAGGTCGGTACTTGGAACTACGATGTTGTGGCCATTACAGAAACTTGGGTAACTCAGGGAGAGGAATGGTTGTTGGAAGTTCCAGGATTAGATGCTTTAAAAGAAATAGGGAGGGTGGAAAAAGAGGCAGGGGAGTGGCATTGCTAGTCAGGGTGAGTATATCAGCTACTGAAAGACAGTTTGAGAATGATATGTCTACAGAGTCAGTTTGAGTCGAGGTCAGGAACAAGAAAGGAGCAGTCACTTTGTTGGGTTTTTTTTTTAAACAGACCTCCTGATAGTTGTAGAGAAGTAGAGGAGCGGATTGGGAGGCAGATACTGGAAAGGTGCAGAAGTCACAGGGTTGTAGTCATGGGTGACTTCAACTTTCCAAATATTGACTGGAAACATTTTAGTTGTAATAGTTTAGATGGAGCAGATTTTGTCCAGTGCGTTCAGGAAGGATTCCTGACACAGTATGTAGATAGACCAACACGAGGAGAGGCCACTTTGGATTTGGTGCTTGGCGATGAACCGGGCCAAGTGTTAGACCTGTTGGTAGGAGAGCATTTTGGCGGCAGCGATCATAACTCTGTTTCTTTCACGATAGTCATGGATAAGCATAGGCACATATGGCAGGGTAAAGTTTACAACTGGGGGATGGGTAATTACAATTCAGTTAGGCAAGAACCGGGTAACATAAATTGGGAACAGATGCTGTCAGGGAAGAGCACCACAGAAATGTGGAGATTGTTTAAGGAATGCATACTGCATGTGCTCGATAGGTTTGTCCCGAGTAGGCAGAGAAGATGCAGTCGAGTGAGGGAGCTATGGTTCTCGAGAGAGGTCGAACAACTGGTTAAGAGGAAGAAGGAGGCTTATGTAAAGTTTAGGAAAAGAGGAATGGAAAAGGCTCTAGAGGGATACAAGTTAGCCAGGAAAGAGCTGAAGAAAGAGCTTAGGAGAGCTATAAGGGGGCATGAGAAAACCTTGGTGGATAGGATCAAGGAAAACTCCAAGGCTTTTTACACGTATGTGCAGAACAAGAGAATGACCAGAGAAAGGGTAGGGCCGACCAAGGATTGTAAAGGGAATTTGTGCACACAGCCTAAAGAGATAGGAGAGGTCTTTAATGGATACTTTTCTTCAGTATTCACAACTGAGAGGGACTTAGTTGTAGAGGAGGATGTTGTGAAACAGGCAGGTAGGCTAGAGGAGGTTGATGTTAGTAAAGAACATTTGCTAGGAATTCTGAGGAAGTTGAAGATAGATAAGTCCCCCGGGCCGGATGGGATTTATCCAAGGATTCTATGGGAAGCGAGGGACGAGATCGCAGGGCCTTCGGCGATGATCTTTTCGTCCTCACTGTCCACAGGTATAGTGCCGGAAGATTGGAAAGAGGCAAACGTCATTCCCTTGTTCAAAAAAGGGAACAGGGATAACCCCGGAAATTACAGGCAAGTTAGTCTTACGTCAGTGGTGGGCAAATTATTGGAAAGGGCTCTGAGAGATAGGATTTATGATCACTTGGAAAGGCACAGTTTGATTCGTGATAGTCAGCATGGATTTGTGAGGTGTAGATCATGCCTCACAAACCTCATTGAATTCTTTGAAGAGGTGACCAAACACATGGATGAAGGTGGAGCAGTGGATGTGGTATACATGGATTTAAGTAAAGCGTTTGATAAGGTTCCCCACGGTAGGCTCATGCAGAAGGTAAGGAGGCATGGGATAGGGGGAAATGTGGCAGATTGGATTCAGAATTGGCTGACCCTTAGAAGACAAAGGGTGGTAGTGGACGGAAAATATTCAACATGGTGCTCAGTTACGAGTGGTGTATCACAAGGATGTGTTCTGGGTCCTCTTCTATTTGTGATTTTTGTAAATGATTTGGATGAAGGAGTGGAAGGGTGGATTAGCAAGTTCGCGGACAATACGAAGGTGGGTCACGTTGTGGACAGTGCGGAGGTCTGTTCTAGGTTACAAAGGGACATTGATAGAATGCAGAGCTGAGCTGAGAAGTGGCAGATGGAGTTTAACCCTGAAAAGTGAGAGGTGATTCATTTTGGAAGGACAAACTTGAAAGCAGAATACAGGGTTAACAGAAAGATTCTTGGCAGTGTGGAGGAGCAGAGGGATCTTGGGGTTCATGTTCACAGTTCCCTGAGAGCTGCCACCCAGGTGGATAGAGTGTTAAGAAGACGTATGGTATGTTAGCTTTCATTAATAGAGGGATTGAGTTCAAGAGGCGTGAAGTTATGCTCCAGCTATACGAAAGCCTGGTTCGGCCACATCTGGAGTCTTGTGTCCAGTTCTGGTCACCTCATTACAGGAAAGATGTGGAAGCGTTGGAAAAGGTGCAGAGGAGATTTACCAGGATGTTGCCTGGAATGGAGGGAAGGTCTTACGAGGAAAGGTTGAGAGAGCTCGGGCTTTTCTCTTTGGAAGGACGAAGGATGAGAGGTGACTTGATAGAGGTGTACAAAATGATCAGAGGTATAGATAGAGTAGACAGCCAGAGACTTTTTCCTGGGGTGGAAGTAGCTTTTGTGAGGGTACATAGTTTTAAAGTGAAAGGAGGTAGATATCAGGGAGACGTCAGAGGTAGGTTCTTTACTCAGAGAGTGGTAGGGGCGTGGAATACATTGCCGGAGAGGGTAGTGGAGTCGGCCTCATTAGGGGCATTTAAGCGGCTATTAGATAGGCATATGGATGATAGTATAAGATAGCGGTGGAGGTTAGACAGACCTTAGGTTTAGGGTAAAAGCTCGGTACAACATCGTGGGCCGAAGGGCCTGTATTGTGCTGTACTGTTCTACGTTCTATCTGAAAGAAAAACAGAATTTGCTGGAGAAATTCAGCAAGTCTGGCAAGTCACTGGACTCAAAGACTCTGCTTTCTCCCCACAGATACTGCCAGATCTGCTGAATTTCTCCAGCAATCTCTGTTTTCATTCAAAGAGAAGCTTATTCTTTGATTTCCTGGGGGATGAGTGCAGAGTGGGAGCACTGTAACGGGCAATTTTATTCTAGTTGCTTGACCATGAAACAGTATTAACTATCACTGTACACAAAGAAACGAAGGGATGTCTACAAAAGGAAGCAAAACCCAGCTAATTCCTGCAGTGCCTGGAGGGTGACCAAATGCCAGCTGAGAAAATGTTCGTGCCTTGATCTTCAGCAAACAGAATTTAAAATGATGGTTCCGTTTCCAATCTAATTATTTGATGGAGCAAAGTTCTGTGCAATTACAACACGTTACACCATCACTGCTGTGGTAGAAGTCGGCCATTCAGCCCCATTCAGTTAGATCATGGCTGATCTGCATCTTCACATAATCTAGAGGTTCCAAAGAAGAGTTATGTTGGACCAAAAATATTAACTCTACTTGTCTCTTCACAGATGCTATTCAACTGCTCAGTTTCTCCACCATCTTTTAAATTTTATTTTACAATCTCCAACATCCTCTTTGTTTTGCTTTAACTGAATCTATGTTGGTCCTCTGATGTCCTAATACACTTGCCACTCAAAAGCCTGTCAATTTCAGTTTTGAAACTTGGTCCCCAGGCTCAACCATGTTTTGGGGAGTTCAAGTTTTCACTACCCTTTGCATGAGGAAGTTCAACATAACATCAATGCTGGATTACAGTGAGGAACACAGCAAAGAGAAAAAGACGCTGCCTGTGGTTTCTTTTAAGACTAACAAAAAATGTAGGTTATGGAAGCAGAAAACCCGTTTTCACAAACCTTGAAGGAATGATAACTGTGACTGGAATTCGAAACAATGGACCGGCATCAGGGGCTGTTGTATCATATCCAAGGACCTGGAGCAAGGAAGAGAAAAAGTTTATAACACTTTAAAATAAAAAACAGCACTCCCCCCACAAATTACTAGCCAACTTATTTGTGTTTGAGCAGAGTGACTGTCCCTCTGAACTATAACGTATATTGGGCCAAATTTCACCAAGCACATTCCAAGAGGATACTTTGACACCTTGGCTTAGTGTGCAGCATTTGCTCGTTTCACACTTTCATACAAGTTAGGGTGATGGTATCTGTCGTTTTTAAAGATGGTGTCTCGCTGTGTTTGATAGTGGGCTGAAATGGGAAAGGGGTGTGTTTAAAACCAAGGATTATGGAATGGACTACTCTACATTTTAAAAGCATGCTATTGGAAGGCATTGTAATTGCTATTTACATTGTTGCTTGTTCAAGCAGTGGGGCACATTACTGCAGACTGATTGCCATGTGTGCAAAGTGCAATTTGTCAAAGCAACAAGAAGCTGACTTATAACTGGTCACACTTCCATAGACCAATGATAAAGACCTTCTGCTTCCATTAACTATTTGATTTGTTCCCAGGTAGCTGAATGGCACTGAGGAAAACAGCAAAGAATTGTGGGTAAGAATGCGGTAGCTATAAGACTTTGGACCTCCACAAATGGAAGTGGTGTCATTGTCTCTGCAGTAAAAAAACTAAAGCCTCAATCATGGCATAGTGTGGAAACAGGCCATTCAGCTCATCGAGTCCACACTGACCCTCCAAACAGCATCCCACCCTTCCACCCTAACCCTGCATTTACTATGGCTAATCCACCTAGCCTACACATCACTGGACACTATGGGCAATTTAGTATGGCCAATCCACCTAACCTGCTCATTTTTGGACCGTGGGAAGAAACCCACGCAGACACGGGGAGGATGTACAAACTCCACACAGACAGTTGCCTGAGGCTGGAATCAAACCCAGGTCCCTGGCGCTGTGAGGAAGCAGTGCTAGCCACTGAGCCACCATGCTGCACCTAAAACTAAAGCATGTTTATTTTTCCTCATCAGTTGCTATAAACTGTTGCTTTTAACCAATGATTTAGAGACTTAGTAAGTTGTGAACCACTCACACTGCCTCCTGCAAGCAAATGAAAATCTCTGAAGAGAGACTGAAGAGCACACATCCTGTCAATCAAAAAGATCATGTCAGCAAACCATGTAGACAGGGACCACTTCCTTCAACATCAACACTAAATTTCCCTTTTTGCCTGTCTACAGGTGTAGGGGGAGTTTTATAAGGGGATTAGAGTTTTAACTGGTCGTTACTTACTTGTAGCTAGAAACTCTCTGAAATAAATAGTAATTCTTGTTCACTGCAGAAATCTAGTATCTTAAAAAAGTCAGATAAATGAGGCAATTTTGCACATTTTTATAAAACTTATGTAGTAACCCGGGAACAGCAGGGTTAGATTTCCAGCACACTGCACCATCGAGGCATGACATGTTTCAAAGTGTGAATTTTTTTTAGACTGACCTGAATTGAAAAGGGAAACCAAGCAAGAAAACTAATCTTCCCAGCATATGGAAACCAAGGCCAAAACTGGGACTGGAATATTTGGGTACATCGAAACTGGTTGAAATGTATAACAGAACTTTAAGCGATTAGGAGACAACGATTCCATTGGTGTAGTACAGGCAGACTGAAGATGACAGAAGTGAGAACAGACAAATACAACTTTGCTGTACCCATTTCAGTTCCTTTAACGTAAATTTGGTGGATCCACACTACCCAGTTTGTTGTTAGCAAAGTTGATTCTGGTGAACAATACATCCGTGGAACTCAGGTTGGTTGTTTGCTGCTGTTGGCGGCTGGCAATCAGGCTAAGTTGTTAAAGGAGAGAAATTGAAATTCTTTGCGATGAAGATAGAGCTTTGTAAGACTTTGCAACTGAGATTACTGACATATGTGTGAAGTGGACTGCCAAGCAAGATTGCAAGATCTGTCTTGGATGCATCTACAACTTAATACGTAAACTATAGTTTATAATCAACAACTATTTGCCTGTAAATTCATATTTAATTTGGGTACATTCTGGATTTTAGATTAAAGGCAATTACATAGGATAGTATTTAATTTGACTCTTGTACAGTAAAAACGTCTTTTCTTCTGAACAGTCATGGCCTCATTCTTTCACCAAATAATGAGATTTATTGTTTTTCCTTTTTGTGACTGGTCTTGAACAAAATCATAACAATGAATTCCTACACTATTTCTCAGCCTGATTCTTTACTGGTTGCACAGATTGAAGCAGTAAATCTCCACATTCACTCTCAAATCAGAGATTGTCAAATGTGAAGTCACAATCTCAAGCATATAATTAATGTCAGCTATGCCTCAGGCATTAACACTCTCACTTTGACTCAAGGTTGTAAGTTCACATCCTATCCCACAGACTTGAGCACAAGGCACTCGAGGAGCTACCTGTTGACCCCCTTTCTCACAGGGATGCATCTAGAGGTGTAGGTGGCCATGTAATTGGACCTGAAGATGCTGGGTGGAGCACTCAACACCTCCATCGAACAAGGGCAGGGGGAGATCAAATTGACATCTTACCTGTAGGCTTGATCGTGTGTGGAGATTGGATCAGGAACCTGAGCCCCAAGGAAGTCCATGTCACACCCTGACCTCCCCCCTGAACCCATCCAATCCACCTCCACCCAACTAATTGGCCCCAGTAAGTTCACCTCACTTGCTGGATACCTGGGGCTTCCCTCACTGGTTGCAGCACCTGTCCTCCTATTGTCCCAGTACGGGCCACCACTTCCCGCAGCATTGCTGGAACTGAGGCACTACAGGCGAATGGATTAGTTGGCAGCTCTTTGAGTTAATCTTCACTTTCAAAGGCCAAGGAGCCCCAATGGCAGGCTAGCAACTCTCTGACTGATACCTAATTCCGTTGGGTTCTCTGGAAAAGAGCTGTGACAGAGTTGCCACTGGCTTTCCAGCTGGTGCTATGGGGGTATCCCTGCCCTTAAATGTAGCACTTTCAGTGCAGTACTGACTGAGCACTGTACTGACAAAGATGTCAGCTTTCAGACAAAATATTAAACCATTCCTCATCTGCTTAAGTGGACACAAAAGGTTCCGTTATGTAAAAGAGGAGCAGAGGCAGTTTCACCTGTCTTCTAGTCAATATTTATTCTGTAACAAATATGCCCAAAGCAGATGGTCGGACAAGTTACAACCAGACACTAATCCAAATGAAACAAAAACTGTGAAACACTATGCCATTGTGCATAAGGGTGTCAATGATCACACATCCAGGAAAACACATCCAACTGACCTCAGTGAAGTGTGGTCCTTCCTTGAGTCCTCGTGCATCCACCCTGACAGTCACCTGGCGGGACTGGTTCATTAGCTCCAGATGGGAGGGGATATGCACCCACGATACATTGCAAGTCAAAGCTAGATGTATCTGTAGAGCTATCTTCTCACTGTGTTCTGTGTATATGAAATAAAACAAGGAGACCTGAACATTAAAGTGTCAAATAGCTACCTCAAGCCTGGATTTGAGCACAAACATTTAGGTTAATGCTCTAGCACAGTGTTAGATGTGCCATCCTTTAGGTGGACTATTAAACCCTGGCCCTGTCTATCCTCTGGGCTGAATGTTAAAGATTCCACTATTTAATGGAAGATTAGCAGAGGTCTTTGCAATGTTCTGGCTAACGTTTATCCATCAATCAATATGACAAGATGTACTAAATTAAAACAAAGAACTGCAGATACTGGAGATCCAAAACAAAAACAGAAATTGCTGGCTAAAATCAGTAACTCTGGCAGCATCTGTGAAGACAGAAACAGACTTAATATTTTGATCCCAGTGACTCTTCATCAGAGCTGATAGCAGCTACAAAAAGCTAGTATTTATACTGAAGACGAGGTTGGGGCAAGGAAAAACTTGAGTGGATAAGTGGAGACGGAGCCCAGAGAAGGAGATATATGAAAGAAATGAGTAAACGAGGGGATAATGAACGACACAGATCACTTATTCTCTGCTACCCCACAGCTCTCATTATCACTCATTCAGCTTCTCTTCTGTCTTGGCCTACCATCCACAATAACTGCCTTTTGCAGTTCCTTCGCTGTTTTTTTTTGCTTAGTTGTTAACTCAGTGCCTCATTTCTTCCAAGTATGCCCACCTTGAAGAGGTTCTGCTCCTTTCTCCAACAGGATTTCTGTTCTAATCTTTTAACTTGTTCACCATCATTACTTTTGCTGTCACTCCTGGTGTTTGACAAGGCATTTGCCAAGGCTTGCTTCCACTGTCACATCATATCCCTCAGTGAGTGCCCCTGGCTCAGACTCACCCAGGGGGATTCTGAGTGAAGTTTCATCCCTGGATCACAGGTACCTCTGTGATGTACAACATTCCTCAGACAGCTGCTCCTACCACATCCTGAGATCCAAACTCCGTGCCATGCATTATCATATGCAGATTCTCAACCTCTCTCTCCAAAAACACCACCTCAAGCTCGCTCATAGCTGCCCAGTCCCTCAGGTCCACTTCATCCTCTGGCTCATTCGACGTGCTACCAAGAAACTTTTCTTTTCCTTTCAGGTATTAAAGAACACAAGATGCAACAACTTAGAGATACCCACATCCCTCTAGAACCTTCCTCCCCTCCCCTCCCCTTCCCTCTGACTCCATCCTCTCTCCTAACCCCACCTCTTGTTGTGTACTTACTCTCTCTTCTGACGCTCAACACTCTGTACTCAGTAAAGGTCTTAGTTTTATTCCCCTGCACTCCCACCTCAATGAATTTTGAACACAAAATGACGTTGAACTCTTCTTCCACTGCCTTTGCCTCCATGCCAAGTTCTTTGGACTTGAGGCCTCTCCTCATCCCACAGGCCCTTTTACCCATCTCCAACACACTCCCTCCACTTGGACCCCTCACTGGTCTTTTACCTGCACTTGACCTGTTATCAAGTACTCCAAGCACTTTAGAATAGCATCAGGGCACAAAAGTCATAGTATTAAATGAGATAAGATTTCTTCTTACACCATAAAGACCATAAGATATAGGAGCAGATTTCGGCCATTTGGCCCATCAAATCTGCTCTGGCATTGATTATAACTGACATGTTTCTCAACCGCACTCTCCTGCCTTCTCCCCATAACCCTTCATTCCTTTACCAATCAAGAAACTACCTATCTCTGCCTTAAATGCACTCAATGACTTGGCTTCCATAGCTTTTACGGCAAATAAGTTCCACAGATTAACTACCCTCTGACTGAAGAAATTCCACCTCATCTCAGTTCTAAAGAGTTGCCCCTTTACTCTGAGGCCATGACCCCAAGTCCTAGTGTCTCCTACTCGTGGAAACACCTTTTGTGTCCACTCCATCCAGGCCTCTCAGTATTCTGTACATTTCAATGAGATCTCCCTCATCCTTCTAAACTCCAATGAATACAAACCCAGAGTCTTCAACTGCTCCTCATATGACAAGCCTTTCATCCTCGGGATCATTTTTATAGACCTGCTCTGGACCCCTTCCAATGCCAGCACATCCTTCTTTAGATACGGGGCCCAAAACTGCTAACAATATCCCAAATGTGGTCTGATCACTGCCTTATACGGACTCAACAGTACATCTTTGCTTTTGCATTCTAGCCCTCTTGAAATGAATGCTAACATTACATTTGCCTTCCTAACTGCCAAGTGAACCTGCATGTTAACTTTAAGAGAATCCTGAACTAGGGGCCCCAAGTCCCTTTGGGCTTCAGATTTCTGAAGCCTTTCCTGTTTAGAAAGTAGTTTATGCTTCTATTCTCCCTACCAAAGTACACTTTCCCACATTGTATTCCATCTGCCACTTCTTTACCCACTCTCCTCGCCTGTCCAAGTCCTTCTGTAGTCTCCCCACTCAAAATGACCTGTCCCTCCAGCTACCTTTGTGTTATCTGTAAACTCAGTTCTGAAATGAAATGACTAGTTTGTTTGAACAGTCAACCAGTTGCCTGTTCAAAAATTTGAATAATCTCCTAAATGTTGTGTTCAATGCTTGAAATTCAATAACTCTTCTCACAGATAGAAATTGCAACCATTATCACTGTTCAATGCTGGCATACTCTTTGGATGTCTTTCACCTACAGCTGTGTAAAAACATGTGAACCCTCTGGTTGCATGGTCTCAGATTTGGGATTGAATGAGAGCTATGCTCCCTTATTGTGCTCTGCCCGCTCAGTGCTTGGACCAGAGGGCTCTGGCATAGAAACAGCCTCTGCCTGTGAACTGATGTGGGGAGGGGAAGATGTTCAAGTCCAGTTGTAGGCCCAGAGTTGAGGGTGGAGGGGTTCACATCACAGGTGAAGGCGGAGATGTCAGGGTACTGGGTTAAGGTGAATGGGTAGAGTCCCGTCATGGGGCAGAAATGGATGGGTCAGTAAAGTGTTGGAGGTTTTTGAATACAGGAGTGAAAAGGACAACAACTGCATACTTTTGCTAATTGGAAACAATAAATATTTGGCACAAAAAGTAAAATATAAGTTTAAGACGAAACACCTCTGCACTTATTGATAGCGTCATCATATTTTCAACATGCTTCAGCGCACTGCCAAAGTGAAATGACTGGTATTCTTGAACAATCAACCAGTTCATGTTCAAACAAAAAAATCGAATAATCTCCTAAATGTTGTTGTCTTGGGCATAACTTCATGTCCCTTTAAATGAGCCTTTCTATTAATCTGTCATGGCAAAGAAGTTGTATCAAACAGCCACTAGTCCGTTAAAACCCCTCAAACCGCATACTGGAAAACCTCACATTCCTCTTGTATTAATGTTTTCCATACCTGCATTTTCCGGAAACACTGGCTCCACAGAAACAGAGAAGTCAATTGGCACTGATAGATATGCTGGGTCCCTGAGGTAGATTCCACGAAGGTGCAATATTTTGATGCTGAAACCCAACTGATGACTTTTTACTGAGGCATTTTGGCTGAGGTAGTCATAGGCCTTTTCAATCTGTTCGGGAAGAAATAAACACTGTTATGACGGAAACCCAGTAGCCAAGGGATCGGTAGTGTTGGATAGCACTTCTCACATCATTGGCTAACTAGCACTGTGACTGACCCGAAACTTGTCAACTCACCTGTGGATATTGTAGTAACTATTTAGTGGCATTGCTGGCAGTCTAGGGAAGGTTCACTAGGCTGATCCTGGGTATGGATAGGCTGCTTTGTGAGGTTAGGTAGGTTGGGCCTATACTCATGGGAACTTAGAAGGGTGAGAGGTATGGAAAGATACAAGATTCTTTGAGAACCTGATAGGGTAGATACAGGAAGGTTGTTTTGCCTTGTTGGGTGTCTAAGATCAGGTGGCATAATTTCAGAATAAAGGGTCACTCATTTAGAAAAGAGACAAGGAGGCATGGAGGGTAGTGAATCCGTGGAATTCTGTGCCAGAAAGGGCAGAGATCATTCAAGCTGAGATAAACAGATTTTTAATCAGGAAGGAAATCAAGGGTTATGGGGAAATAGAAGGAAAGTGAAGTTGAAGATTATCAGATCAGCCATGATCCTCGTTGAATGGCAGAGCAGATTCTATGTGCTGAATAGCCTACTTCCGCTCCAATGTTTGATGGTTTTATATACATGGCACAAATTTTCTTTCATTATTATCATTGAACAGTGCCCTGACCAGGCAGCTCTGGCCAGATGGAAACAGGTTAGTCCACACCTACTGGTTGGTCCACACCAGAATATTGTGCACAATTCTGCGATCCATATTTCATTCAGAAAGGACTTCACGATCTTACGGAGGGTAATAAAGAGATTTACTCAGATGGCATCAGTGTTGAGAGATTTATGTGCAGATTCAAGCTGAGAAGGTTGAAGATCGACATAATTTATGAGGTGTTTCACAGAACAAATTGGGAGAAATGGCTAGTACTCTCAGTCGTGGTCATAACCAAAGAACACAGTTTTAATTATTTGGCAAAAGAAGTGTGATGTTTCAGAATGTGCAGCCTAAAAGGGCAGTGGAAACAGATTCAGTGGTAACTTTCTAAAGAAAACTAGATAAATTTTCAAAGGGGAAAAATTTTCAGGGCCGTGGGGAAATGACAGAGAATGGGACTAATTAAATAGCTTGAAGAGCCAGCATACAGCCTCCCTTCTGTGCTGCATGATCTCTGAATCTAGTTCCTGAACATTCAAACTGGAGAGATAACACAATAAAATCAGTCAGAATGAGGAAAATGGAAGAGGTGAAGACTGGGCAAGTTTGATTACATTTGCTGCCAGAAACAGCAGAATAAACAAGTCGGAGTTGTGGTCTCTGTCTCTCAGTATTTTACTATCCTATCAAACCGGACTGCTGTCGTTCTGTTAAACACAGACACAGGCGATCATTCAAATGGATCACAGCTGATCTAAACCTCAACTCCAGTAACTAATTTTTGCTTCATTCCCTTTAATATACCCACCTAACAAAACTGATCATCACTGATGAGAACTTTACATCAAATTGAATTTCATTAATAACACCAACAACACAAATAATTGTTATTTGAGAGGAAAGAAGACATGTAAAAATGTTTTGCTTCTGAAAGGAGAAACAGGCATGATAGGGGGATGAGGAGATGAGGACAGGCTCATAATTCATTAACCATTGAACAAAGTCAGACAAATACATGGGGTGGGGAATGTGATAATGATGGTGATCTAAATAAATTAACTATGTTCTGATTACATGGAAAGACAACATCTTGCATTTACACAACAATGTGTACTACAGTAAAACATCCCGCAATGCTTCAAAACAAAACCTTCTATTTGTATAGTGCCTTTAACAAAATAAAGACATCGTAGGCACTTTGCAGGATCAGCTGAAACAAAGTATGACACTGAGCCACATGAGGAGAGATTAGGTCAGAGGATCCAAAGTGTAGCCAATGAGGCATAATTTAAGGAGGAACAAGAGGTGGGGAAATTTAGCAAGGGAATTACAGGGGCCAGGATCTAGGCAGCTTAATGGTGGAGTAAAATAAATTGTTCAAATGGTCAAAATGCGAATGCTGCACATATCTCGGTGTTGTGAGGGAGGGTGCAGGACTGCAGGGCATCACCGTAAGACAGGGGCAAAGGCCACGATGGGATTTGAAAAAAAGGATACATTTTAAAATGAAAAAAATCAAGATGTTGCATGACTGGGTGACAACGTAGGTCAGGGAGCACAGGGTAATCAGGAAACAGGACTTGGCAAGACATGGGCAGTAGAAATCCAGATGACTCCAGTCCATGGATGGTGGAATGTGGGAAACTATCCAGGAAAATGTCAGAATAGTCAAGCCTAAAGGTAACAAAGGCATGAATGAGACCATCACAGCAGGAGAAAGAGGCCATTCAGTCCACCATTCAATCATGGCTAATATGTTTCTCAACCCCATTCTTCAGCCTTCTCCCTGTAACCCTTGATCCCCTTACTAATCAAGAACCTATCTATCTCTGTCCTAAATATACTCAATGACTTGGCCTCGACAGCCTTCTGTGGCAATGGATTCCACAGGTTCACCACACTCTGGCTGAAGAAATTCCTCCTCATCTCAGTTCATAAGGGTCACCACTTCACTCTGAGACAGTGCCCTAGGTCCTATTCTCTTCTACTATTGGAAGAATCTTCTCCACATCCACTCTGTCCAGGCCTCTCGGTATTCTGCAAATTTCAATCAAATTCTCCCCTCATCCTTCTAAACTCTATTGAGTACAGATCCAGACTCCTCAACCGCTCCTCATATGACAAGCCCTACATCCACGGGGTCATTCTTGTAAACCTCCACTGGAGCCCCTTCAATGCCAGCACATCCTTCCTTAGGTACAGGGCCCAAAACTGCTCACAATATTGCAAATGCAGTTTGACCAGAGCCCTGTACAGCCTCAGCAGTACATCCCTCCTCTTGTATTCTAGCCCTCTTGAAATGAATGAGGAGTTCAGCAGCAGATAAGCTGAGGAAGTGTAGTCGAGTAATCAGACTACTGAATCACTGCCAATAACATCACAACTACTTGATCTTTAAATGCCTACAATCTGGTAAAATCTCCCAATGGCCTTCACAGCGTTGACTGTTAGTCAAAATTTGACTCCAAGGCACACAACAATCTATGAAGAAAGATGAAGCAAAATCTAAAGCGGTAAGTTTTAAGGAACTTCTTGAAGGAAGATTGAAAGGTGGACTACTTTAGAAAGGGAATTCTAGAGTTTGAGGCCCTGGGAGCTTACATCATAGCCACCAGTGGTGGTATAAACAGAGTTGGGAAGCACAAGAAACCTGAGTGGGACAAGTGTAGAGATAGCAGAGATTTATGCAAATGGTAATGGTCAAAGGGGGTGAGATCTGTGAAAAGAAACAAACAACGAGATTCTGAAGATCGTGATGTTATTGAACTGAGAGCCCGCAGCAGTGACGAGTAAGTGGAGTTTGGTGTCAGTCAGGATACAGGCAGCAGAGATTAGCACGAACTGATGGGTGGGTGCTGACAGTCAGAAATGATGGACTCCCAGTTAACAGAGGAGCACAGACCAAAGTGATGAGCAAATCACCAGTTCATGTGAGATTTTTTAAAAGGTTTCCAATTAATTCCTGAACCAGACCCTGAGAGGAGCTACTGATACATTACTGACTCAACAAAGGTGTCCAAAAGGATTGCTAACTTGGTTGATTTACCTGAATGATCCCATGGCCTTGTGCAAAAACTTCAACGTCCTCCACTTTCAATGCTGTGTTCTCCAGAGCACGTCGCACTGAGTGTGCAGTGTAACAAATGCCATTTGCTTTCAACGCTAAAGTATTGACGGAAACAACAACAGCTTTGCTAATACAAGTATTCACAAAAAATGCAACATGGCACAAATCATTTTGCATAATAGGCAAATATAAGATTGCCATTAACAAATCCAATAAGTACAGAGGAAACCATTTTTTAAGCTCAAAGTGGTGAAGAGTTAGATCCTGCCTCAACATGCTGAGTGACATGATATAATGCATTTAAGAAGAAACTAGATAAACAAGGGAGAAAGAAGGAGAAGGACCTTCTGATAAGGTCAGCTGAAGAATGGTTGAGTGGAGATTTGAGTGGTGCATAAACATTGTTATAAATCCATTGTGTTGTAGGGTCTATTTCTTAGCTATAAGATTTAATTCTATGTTGCAGTTATAAACTGAGGGGCAATAATGAGGAAAGGTTGTTTATGGTTCTCTCCAGGTCAGTAATATTGCAGTGGATAACATTAAGATTCTAGCATGTCCATGTCTTAATTTTTAAAATATATTTATTCACAGGATGTGGGTATCATTGGCTGGGCCAGTATTTATTGTCTATCCCTAACTGCCCTCAAGATGGTGCCGAGGATAAAGCATATTGGATGCTGTCAACAATGCTTATCAGGATTGAAGCTGGGGTGGGGGTGCACTAAATCTCAGCAAAAATCTCCAACCAACCAAACTCAACCCATTGTTGAGCAGTCAATAAGTCAGCACAGCTCACTGATTTGAGCAAGATGATTTTGTTTCAGGGACAGTCTGGCTTACTCTAGTGTCTAACAATGATACTCAGTTTGGAATTTTAATCTTGCTTTATTCATGCCTGATGGATGTGAACTCTTAGATGACATGACATTCATGTACCTGTTAATGGAAGACTTGCATATCAATGCCAAATCTTCACTGGAACCTTAGGGAAACTTTGCACAGCAGTAACAAGTCTGGATTTGATTCCAACCTAAGCTACTGAACAGAACACCCGACCAAGAAATTGTCCTTGCAGGTGCACTGGGATCACGCTACGAGATGTTTCTATGCTGCAAATTTTACATAATGTACTTGATGGTAATGACCACATTTATCACTTTTTCATAAATGTTTAAAGTTTCATAGTTTTGTGCGCAAAGTATTAAAGTTATAGCATGCTAAATTTACTAATTAATAAATCCATTATTAATTATTCATTCATAAATTAATTATTAAGTCAAAATGACAGCATGCTAGATTTAATTCACTATAAGTATGGAAATTTGGAGATTTAAACCTCGTAACAGGCTGGCCACCCACACTGAGATTTGGTAAAATGGGTTCAATATTAAGAGCCAATTTTTACTTATCACCAGAGCTTGACTCTCAAACTTTTACGCAACTACATCTCACAATGGTGATCTCTACAAATCAGTGCAACTCCCTACAGCCCACTTCTCACAGCCAAGTGTGTGACAGGAATTAAACCAGCTAATGTACACAAGTGCCAATGAATGAACACTTAAGGCTGATTTCAAAGCATGGATTTAATCTGTTCAATTGGATCTTTGCTGGGATTACTTGTTCAGAATGAAGCTTTCAATTTATTTGCATGAAAACACTGGGAGATATACACCGAGGACTAACAGCAGTGTGCATTGATACATAGAATTACAAAGAATTTTGCAAAGCAGGAATATATCATTTGGCCCAACTGACCTACGTCAATGTTCTTGATTGACATAAGGATCCTCTGATCCTGCTTCATCTCATCCTATTAGTACCCTTTTCTCCCTCATGCATTTATCTAACTTCCTGCGAAATATAACTACACAGTATAACTCAACCATGCCTGACGGTAGTGAATTCCACATTCTCATCATTCTCTTGAATACTTAATTGGATTTATTAGTGGTTGTCTTATATGGCCCTTAGTTCCACAAGACGCTTTCTCCACATCTTTCCTGGAGTCCTGCAATAATAAGCTCACCCCACTGCTTTTTCTTTTTCAGAGAAAAGCACGCCAGCTTTTTCAGTCTTTGTGATAGCTGTACTGCGTCAAAATAGTCAGAGTTTTGCTGCTTTACAAATCTCTTGAGCAATAGCACTTGGACACAGTACAGTTTATTTCAGTCTGACAGATAGGGTCAGTGTATGTGCACACTCTGTCTACAAAGAACAGGACCCTGCGCATAAATGTATGTAGTTTTCAGTTCATCCAAGTCTGACATACTGTGAGCTTGACTGACAATTCTACACTGATTGTCAATGTAATTCTTCACACACTCAGGATTATATAGCAAATATGTCCAATTGTGGAATCACTGCACCTGTTTCAACTCAACAAAATGAGTGACAGCCATTTACTGGTTCACTTCCCAGGGCGATGCCATGACCATTCAGATGTGGAGCCACTTTACTCACACTGAATGAAGCTTTTGATCACTTGCAGAGACTTATTATTCAACCTGTCGACACTCCACTCAACCATTTGTACGATGTTTTTATCTCTCTGCCTACAAATTCTGTGTCTGCGTACTTCTCTTCATTTCACCTGACCATGGAGCAGCGCTCTGAAAGCTTGCGGTTTCAAATAAACTTGTTGGACAATAACCTCGTGTCGTGTGACTTCACTTCATGGCCAGAGTCAAGCTGCCTGGTTTAAAATTTTAACAAAGCCTGATTTTAACTGTTAACCATCATTAACTGGTGCATTGTCCATGGCTTGTGCCTTTGCCAATCAGTTCTCTTCTCTCATACAATATAAATATTAGTTTCCCCTTAAACTGGGATTCTTGCAAATATTCCTCGAGTGCAAGATGAAACACTTTGAAAGAATGTGTGTTCTTTTGGCAACAGACAAGAACTATACTACCAAATAAACGTATGAGACATTGAGAGGACACAGATGAAAGCAAACGGAATGATTTAGCATCTTTAAAATAATATAAGGAGCAGAGGCAGCCTGGTACTTCAGGTGGATGCTTGGTTTAAATATATAAGCGGTGCTAGTTTGAAAACAGCACAAGCAATACACACTTTTGATACAGGAGCAGAATGAGGGATAAAATCTGAAACTGCAAGCAGAGTCTCCTCCACTTTTACCACAAAAGCCCCAGAATACTCAGTGCTGTACCTGAGATCAGCAGAGCGATGCCTCCACAGGCGTTAGGAGAGGACATCGAAGTTCCATTCATCAGTTCAGTGCCTCGAAGTGTCCAGTTGGGAACCGATGCTATGGCTCCGCCTGGAGCAGTGATACACACTCCCAACGCTCCATCAACACTAATCAATCAAAAACAACTGGTTAGCTCAATGCTGGCCTTGGCAGAGGTAGAGCAAAGATACACTATTTTTAGACCAAGGTTTAAGTTTTAACAGATGAAGACATGATGAAGCTGGACAGAAAGCAAAAGGAGGTGATACTGAAGTGTACAGAACCAGAGGATGACTGTAGAGGTGGTGATGATAATCATAGAATGTGTGCAGTAAAGGTGCATCACCTCACCAACTGTGCACTAACATGGGATCCCAATCACAAGTCTGGGGGGCCTGAAGCCGAGTCATGCCAAACTCAAAACATTAACGGTTTCTCTTCCCAAAAATGCTGCCAGACCAGCTGAGTTTCTCCAGCAGTCTCTGTGTTTGATCACAATCACAAATACTGGTCCATAAAATTGTTTCAGGATTTAGGAGTTGGCAGTATATTGGGAAGGTAGCAGTGATAAGGACCAATACTGAAACACAGTTTGGTTCACCTGGACTCTGTTTTTCAAACTCTACTCCATTCTGTATTTCTGTGGCTTTCAAACTTTTCAATATGTAAGCATTGATGAATTTATTAACTTTAATGACTATTTGACTTAGGAAACATTGGTACATCCATAAAGATCCCCTGTAAATACTGACAGCCCTCAACAGATTCCCTGTGTATCAGAGATAGTAGGAACTGCAGATGCTGGAAAATCTGATGAAGGGTCTAGGCCCGAAACGTCAGCCTTACTGCTCCTATGATGCTGCTTGGCCTGCTGTGTTCATCCAGCTCTGCACCTTGTTGTCTCAGATTCCCTGTGTATATAGGTTTGCACTTTTGCAGACCTCACTTAAATGATGATAGACTCTGGGAGCTTCCCTTTAAATATGAATAGAGGCATGTGACCACACTTGCATCAACTTCCATAAATCACATCCTATCCTCCCCATTGCTACCATCCTACCATCCATCAGCCCATCATGTCAACATCACTCACTTGCTTCCTTTTGCAAACATAAATTAATCTGGGGCAAGCAGAGACTTCATTGTACACCGGTCTTGCCTTGCATATCTGCACGTACAATCAACAAACTGAAGGTAAACAGTAATGCAGTGGCACAATGACCAGTACTCTCACCTCCCAGTCTGAAGGTTGGATGTTTGAACCCCACTCCAAACTTATTTATTGAGGACACGATCTAAGCCATCATTCCTGGTGAGATACTATGGGAATGTTACACTGTTGAAGGTACTGACCCTTGGTTTAGACCAGTAAAGCAATAAAACCTGGAGGAAGTACCATCATCTACAAGTTGCCTGCTGAACAAGCCACAAGTGGTGAAGGGTAGAGACCTGGAATTGAACGTGAGGTCAGAATTGCAGTAATGCAGGCTTCTTGAAAGGTTGTAGGATTGGAATAGGTTAGAGAGGTAGTAAAGGAAAATCCATGAAATACGAGGACAAAAATTTTAAAATCACAATGTTGTTCAACTCGGAGCAAATACAGATCATAAGTACAGATGTGATGGTAGAATGTCATGTGGCACCAGTCAGAATACAGACCTGAGGATGATGAACTTTAATAGGGTTACGGACAATAAAAGGAGGTGTGAAAATAAAGTGGACTTCTATTTCTAAAAGGTACAAAAAGATTAATAGCTATTCACTGGCCTTCAAGGGAGACTTGAATTTAAAAAGATGGCTGTTCTTCAATTCTGAAGTACTCGTTTCAGTTCTGGGTACCAAACTTCTGCAATTACAGGAGGAGCAGTACAGACTCACCAGGCCTTAATGGGTATTAATTATGTTGAGAGGTTGCATACGCTTGTGTTATAAAGTGGAAGTTGGCCTCCCCGCTCTGATAACTAAAACTGAAACACCCAGAGAGGCGCACCTCACCCTACAAACGGTTAAAAAAAGGAATGTGAAAAGTGGTGCAAACCTGCTTTTTCCGCAACTTGTAGTGGTTAAATAAAATAAATCCCCGACACTCACTTTATACTCAACAAGTAACAATTTATTTATCTAACTCTAACAGTGAACAAATTAACTAAACTATGAATAAAGCAAATAAATCCCTTCTATCTACTAACCATTCCAGCATAAAACAAGATTCTAATGGTATGCTGTTTCAATAATACAAGTCCCATTTATATAAATTAAATAATTTTTTAAAAATTAGAATTTAGTCTCTTGAAATTACAGCCAGGTTACGTCTTCCGGAATGTTCTGTGTCTTCTCCAATGAATTCTTCTGTCAGGAACGCCTCCTCCACCGAATTCTTTTGTCAGGAACATTAACTACTTGTGCCATAGGTACCTTTAATTTAGATGGAGCTTACTCTAAGGCTTAGAGAATTCTGTGAGAGCCAGTGATTCTTTCTTTTAGAGCTGAGAGCTGTTTTCCCTGGCAGATGACAGTTGGCTCTCTCCCGATTTTCCAAATACCCTCATCTTTTATACCCTTGATGACATGTCAATTTCTTACAATAGGATTGATCCCACGTTGTCAAAACCATCAGATTTAAATGCAATTAGTTTTTGTATCTAAGGGCATGGTTTAAATTAACTGACTAAATTCAATAACCTTTTAAAGGGACCATGCACTGCCTTCCCCATAGCATTTTATAAACACTAACATTTTACAAACACCAATGTTTTACAACAACCAAATTCTGCCTTCCAATCCACAAGTACTCAACCCAACTTTGCAACACTTGACATGTACTTGATTGTGTATAGAAGAGGTGATCTACCTTAGGGAAAAAACAATCAGAGATAGACTATTCAGAAACAAACCATTTACACAAAAACGTAGTGAAAATCTGGAACTCTATCCAGACAGCATGTGCGAGCACAAGCGAGACAGTGAGAGAGAGAGGGAGCGTGCGAGAGAGGGAGCGTGCGAGAGAGAGAGAGGAAGCGTGCGAGAGAGAGAGAGGAAGCGTGCGAGGAGAGACAGAGGGGGGAGTGTGCGAAAGAGAGAGAGAGGGAGCGTGCGAGAGACAGAGGGGTGAGTGTGCGAGAGAGAGAGAGAGTGAGACTGAGTGTGAGGGCGCGTGTGCGACAGCGACAGCGACAGCAGGCAGAAGGAATTGTCAAGCCTGAAATCAAATGTTTTCTGTTAGTTTAGCGCAACAAGTGATAAAATGAGATACTTTCAAGTTGAATGGCTCAATGTCATCAAACACACCAGTCATGCTACGCAGAGCTAACATCAATGCAGCTGAATGGAAGATGAATGTAGGATACGGTACCTGTCCCAGTTCCAATAGCAATATAAAATCTTTCACTGCCCACATGAATTAGCAACGGAACTCTCAGTTTAGCACCTCACCTGATGTTAATGGCCTTCAAGTTATTAACTTCTCCAGCATGAAAAGACAAGGTAGATCAAAGTGTAGAGGGAAGTAAGATAACTCGCGATAAAGCTTCAATGTTAATTTTTTTTAAAATTTGTTTTAAGACAACATAGCCTAAAAGGACATCTAGTGAACTTTTCTGATTGGTGGTTTCTGTCAGGAGCAACGGACAGTGCACTGGGGCAGTCAATTGGCACTTCCAGATGGAACATGGGCTATCAGCCGGAATATAACCACAGCAACAGAAGGCTATTAAGCCCCTCAAGGCTGTCCTGCCATTCTATTTGCTTATGGCTGATCTGCATCTTATCACCAGCCACCTGGTTCAGTGTTGCAACCTTTGTAATATCGATGGGCTATGAAAAACCTGCTAATCTCAGTTTTGAACATTTTATTTTATCCTCAAGGGGAGAAAGCGGTATAATTTCGGGAGAGGTTGAACAGGCTGGGACTATTTTCCCTGGAGTGTCAGAGGCTGAGAGGTGATCTTATAGAAGTTTATAAAATTGCGAGGACCATGGATGGGGTGAACAGCCAAGGTCTTTTTCCCAGGGTGGGGAGTCCCAAACGAGAGGGCATAGGTTAAAGATGAGAGGGGAAAGATTTAAAAAGGACCTGAAGGGTAACTTTTCACACACAGGGTGGTTAGTGTATGGAATAAGCTACCAGTGGAAGTGGGTACAATTACAACATTTAAAAAGATGAACATATGAACTGGAAAGGTTTAGAGGGATACGGGCCAAATGCTGGCAAATGGGACTCGGTCTGGTCAGAACAGACAAGTTGGACAGAAGGGTCTATTTCTGTGCTGTATGACAATTAAAGAGATTACAAGACACCAGAATGCATTTGTTGTGGAATATGTTGCACATACAAAAAAAATCAAAAAGAATAGGTATTGAAGAACATTTTTAAAAGTACATCGAAGTATAAACAGGAAAAGGTTGGTAACCAGAACAATATGGTAGTGATTGTTTGTTGATTGTCCTTCATCATTCATGCAGATAGAGTCACACTGCTCGGAAACAGACTCAGTCCAACTTGTCCATGCCGACCAAGTTTCCCAAACTAAACTAGTTCCCATTTGCCTACATTTGGCCCATATCCCTCTAAACCCTTCCTTTTCATCTACCTGTCCAAACATCTTTTAAATGTTGTAACTGTACTTGCATCTACCACTTCCTCTGGCAGCTCATTCCACATATCAGTCACCCTCTATGTGACAAATTTGCCCCTTAGATCCTTTTTTAAATCATTCTCCTCTCATCTTAATCACGGTCGTGAAGAATGGTGGCGCAGGCTTGAAGGGCCGAACGGCCTCCTCCTGCTCCTATCTTCTATGTTTCTATGTCTACGTTTAAACATGTGCCCCCTAGTTTTGAACTCTCCTACCCTAGGGAAAAGACCTTTGCTATTCACCTTATCTATGCCCCTTGTGGTTTTATAAACCTCTATAAGGTCACCCTTCAACCTCCTATGCTCCAGTGAAAAAAATTCCCACCTTATTTGCCCTATCTTTATAACTCAAACCCTCCAGACCCAGCAACATCCTGGTAAATCTTTTCTGAAACCAAAACTGAGAACGTCAGATGGGGAGAACATGTCAGATGGGAAATCACGGGTGTCAACGTGTGCTCTGTCCACTTACTGTACGCATACTCTCTATCTGATGGCTACATCAGAACTATCCTGCTACATCAGAAATATCCTGCTTCAAGCTCTAATTGCTTTGCTCAAACAAGTCCTCGGCACATTCCTTCAAATTATCTTTAAACAATCAATAAATTTGCAACATAGGAGGAGGCAGGCATTCAGCAAGAACTAGCTGTTTAATCAGTTTATGGCCTTATAAAAAAAATCCAATTGATTAAGGTATAATTTAAACTAAAATCTACTTTGTGAGATGAAGGGCATTGATGATAGGTGTAGGAATCATTGACAAAAATCAGCATTTACTGCTTAACCCAAGCTGTCCTTGAGATAGCGATGCTGAGCTTTCGTCTCGTAGTCTGCGTGGTGAAGCTACTTCCACAATGAAGTGTTTAAAATGATTAAAACAGGCAAGGTAAGGCAAGATACATTTTTTCTCTAGGAACGGATTTCAAAGGAACACATACCGCAAAAATTAGAGTTCATTAGCGGTGGCACAAGAAAGGACCTAATCTCACAAAGGGTAATGGAAATTGGGAATCCCCACTCGAAAAAAAAACATAGCACTAAGGGTCAATTGAAAACTTCAAAAATGACACTGAAGGCGTTTTGTCAGGTAAAGGTAAAAATGGTTGCACAACCGAAGTAGGTGTTTGTTAATATTCTTTATGACATATGGGCTTTGATGGCAAGGCCTGCATTTGTTGCCCATCCATAAATGTCCTACAGCTGAGTGCTTTGCTTGGCCATTTCAGAGCGAAGTTACAAATCAATCACATTGCTGTAGGTCTGTTGGCACATATAGGCCAGGTACTGCTAGCAGATTTCCTTCCCTACGGGACAGTAGTGAAGCATTTTTTTTAAAATGACAATCAACAAAGGTTTCATTGTCACTATAAATTGCCATGATAGAATTTGAATTCACCGGCCACCTACAATTTGTTCTGAAGAAGAGCCACTGCAGCTTCAAGACATTAACTCTGTTTTTCTCTCCACAGAATCTGCCTGACCTGCTGAGTTTCTCCCCCATTTCTGAAGAAGGGTCTAGGCCCAAAACGCCAGCTTTCCTGCTCCTCTGATGCTGCTTGGCCTGCTGTGTTCATCCAGATCCCTAACCTGTCCTTCCTCCTTCCCACCCCCATCTCCTACCTACTAACCTCATCCTGCCCCCTTGACCTGTCCGTCCTCCCTGGACTGACCTATCTCCTCCCTAACTCCCCACCTACACTCACCTTTACTGGCTCCATCCCCGCCTCTTTGACCTGTCTGTCTCCTCTCCACCTATCTTCTCCTCTATCCATCTTCTATCTGCCTCCCCCTCTCTCCCTATTTATTTCAGAACCCCCTTCCCCTCCCCCATTTCTGAAGAAGGTCTAGGCCCGAAACGTCAGCCTTCCTGCTCCTCTGATGCTGCTTGGCCTGCTGTGTTCATCCAGCTCTACACCTTGTTATCTGAGTTTCCCCAAGTACTTTGTTCTTATTTTAGATTTCCAGCACCCGCAGTAATGTTTCCAGCATCCACAGGATGTGTCATCCTGACAGCCTTGGCCCCTAAATTACTGATCCAGTAACATTACCACTTATATTCTCTGCTAAGGAGAAACATTCCATATTGCAATAACTGCCCCTTCATTTTGCTGATGTTGACCTTCAGCTTATGCCCTTGTTACAACCTCAATATAACAAAGGAGGAAGAATAACTGGTTCAACAGACTCTTACCAAGGTCCCCTCGACGACCAGGTGTACTGATTAGGTGGTAACTTCTCCCGCATTGAGTATTCTGCAACCATCATATCTGGACTGACATACGCACCAACACCTAATAATGCAACAAGTTATGGTCATTGGTGTCGGTGATATTTTTTACACCATAGAACAACAGATATACAACAGACTCAACAATCTGAAAAATCGCACTTCCATAAGGGGCTCAAATTTAAAATTCTCCCATCTTTATCTAGTCTGCCCTACAGAAACTGAGTCCTGAAGAAACACCATATTGGACTTGAAACATTAACTCTGTTTCTCTCTCCACACATGCTGCCAGACCTGCTGAGTTTCTCCAGCATAGTTTTTTTTATTTAAAATTCTCACTTTTTTTTCCACGGCCTCAACCTTGTCTCTGTAACCTTCAGCCCTCCAAGATCTCTGCACTCGTCTAATGCATCCTCCTGCTCAATCGGAATTTAATTTCTCCACCATTTTCGTCAGTGCCTTCAACTGCCTAGGCCCCAAGATTCAATTCCTCCTTAAGTCTTCTCCTTCCAGACCTTCCTAATAATCAAACTTTTCGACCATGCTTTTGGCCTCAGTCTCTTTGCACGAACCTGTGACAATGTTTATTTAACATTGCTCTTATGTTGCACCTTGGGACGCTTTACTATGTTAAAGGCACTGTAACTACATAAAAGTAGCTTTCCTTCTTATAAAAGATCACACCGGACCTCCTGCCAAAATATGCAATTCCCAAGAGGCATCATTTCACACAGTGACATCTCTAGAAAATTGTCCACACTTTGCTATTCAACTACTACTTTTTAAGAGTTCTGTCAAAATCATACTGGGCTCACCTCCAGCTGGGAACTTTGGTGAGAAGGGATTGCACAATGAAGGGTTGCACAATTGTGTCCTTGAAGTACTTTCTATGTCTAATTGTACAAACAAAACTTCATAACACCCCTTGAAAACAAGGTCCTGGGCTGTACTCAACTGCACCAAAAGTTCTCAACCGGCAACTAATGATTTTTTTTTCATTTCCTCATGAAACGTAAGTCCAGCATTTATTGGCCATGCATAATCGTTTTTCTTGAGAATTTGTTGGTGAGCTGCCTTTTGAACCACTGGTGCAGGTACACCCACAGTATTGTTGGGGAAAGAGCTCCAAGGCTTTTATCTTGAGATAGTAAAGGAACAATGATTTAGTTATGCGGATGTTGCTGCACAGCTAACACTTGCTGTTCATCATTTCAACTGAGTGGCTTATGAGGCCCTTTCAGAGGACAGTTAAGAATCAATGTGGTTGACTCGTAACTGACCTCTGGGCAAGTAGGGACGGGCAATGAATGTTGCTTAGCCAGCGATGCCCTCAGCCCATGAATGAACAACAAAAAAACCACCTGGGGATCTGAAATCATATGAAGGTCACACCGGGAAAGAACAGCAGATTTCCTTCCCTAAAGAATTGTAGCGAACCAGAAGGGCTTTTATTAAAATCATCAATAGCTTCCTTTGCCACCATTCATGTAACTAACTAACAATTCCAGACTCACTATGAACTGAACTTAAATTTCACAGCTGCCATTTGAGATTTGAACCTACAGGAGGTGGTGCTCCTGTATACCTAGCACCCTTGTTACACAGGTCATGGGTTCAGAAGATATTGTTGAATGAGCCTTGGTAAGTTGTTACAGTGGCATCTTGTAGCTCATATGCACTGCTGCCACTGTGCATTGTGGTAGAGGACGTGAATGATTCAAATGGTGCTGGGGTGTTGATCAAACAGGTTGCTTTGTCCTCGATGATGTGGAATTTCCTGAATGTTAGGGTATTGGAGCCGCACGCATCTAAACAACCAGACAGTATTCCGTCATACCCCTGACTTTTACATGCTAAACGTTTGAGACTTTGGAGAGTCAGGAGGTTAGTTACTTGTTGCAGAATTCTCTGCTACTCATCTATGAAGGATTTTATAGCAGGACATTTAGAAAGCAGTGGTGGGATCAGACAGAGTCAGCGTAGCTTTATGAAGGGGAAATCATGCTTGACAAATCTGTTAGAATGCTATGAAGATGTAACTTGTAGAGTTGACAAGGGGGAGCCAGTCGATGTAGTATATTTAGACTTTCAGAAAGTGTTTGATGAAGTCCCACGTAAGAGATTATTATGCAAGATTAAAGTGCATGGAATTGGGGGAAGTGCACTGAGATGGACAGAAAACTCAGTGGCAGAGAGGAAACAAAGAGTAGGAATTAATGAGTCCTTTTTAAATTGGCAGGCAGTAACTAGTGGGATGCCACAGGGATCGGTGCTGGGACCCCAGCTATTCACAATGTACATTAATGATTTAGATGAGGGGAAAAATGTATCATCTCCAAGTTTGCAGATGATACGAAGTTGGGTGGGAGGGTGAACTATGACAAGGATGTAGAGATCCTCCAGCATGATCTTGACAGGTTGGGTGAGTAGGCAAATCATTGGCAGATATAGTAGAATTTGGATAAATGTGAGGTTATTCACTTTGGAAGCAAAAACAAGATGGCAGATTATTATCTGAATGGCTGTAAATTGGGAGACGGGAATGTGCAGTGGGACCTAGGCGTCCTTGTGCATCAGTTGCTGACGGTAAGCATGCAGGTGCAGCAGGCAGTAAAGAAGGTAAATGGTATGTTGGGCTTCATTGCAAGAGATTTTGAGTACAGGAGCAGGGATGTGTTGTTGCAGTTATACAGGGCCTTGGTGAGACCACACCCGGAATATTGTGTGCAGTTTTGGTCTCATTTTCTGAGGAAAAATACTCTTGCTCTCGAGGGAGTGCAGCGAAGGTTTACCAGGCTGATTCTGGGGATGGCGAGTTCAAATTGTGAGGAGAGATTGACTAGGTTGGGATTGTTTTCACTGGAGTTCAGATGAATGAGAGGGGGATCTCAGAGATTTATAAAATTCTAACAGGACTGGACAGGGTAGATGCAGGGAGGTTGTTCCTGACAGTGGATGTGTGCAGAACCAGGGGTCACAGTCTGAGGATTCTGGGTAGACCATTTAGGACGGAGATGAGGAGACATTTCTTCACCCAAAGTGTGGTGAGCCTGTGGAATTCATTACCACAGGAAGTAGTTGATGTGAAAATATTGAATGTATTCAAGAGGCAACAAGATATAGCACTTGGAGACGAATGGGATCAAAGGTTATGGGGAGAAAGCAGGATTAGGCTATTGAGTTGGACGATCAGCCATGATCATGAAGAATGGCAGAGAAGGCTCTAGAGGCTGAATGGCCTCCTCCTGTTCCTACCTCCTATGCTTCTATATCTGTTCTTGTAGCCAAAGTGTTTATATGGCTGGTGAAGTTAAGGTTGTGGTCAAGGTAATCTCTTGGATGACGATGAGCCGGAAACGGGCAATGTTAATAATTTTGAACCTCAAGGGTATTCTCTTACATTGCACACTGTCGCTGTCTGGCACTTGTGCGGCATGTATATTAATAGCTACTTATCAGTATGAACGCTGCTGATGTGGCACAAAATGCTTCAGTATCTGAAAAATGGTGAATTGTGCTAGCATCAAAAAACATCTCCACTTCTGACCTTATGATGGAGGAAAGGTCATTGAGGAAGCAGCTGGGCCTAGGACACTACCAGAGAAACCCCTGTAGCAATGCCCTGGAGCGGAGATGATTGGCCGACAACAACTACAACCTTTCCTCAGGGGAAGGGTCACTGGACCCGAAATGTTAACTCTGATTTTTCCTTCACAGATGTTGCCAGACCTGCTGAGCTTTTTCAGCAACTTTGTTTTTGTTCCTGATTTACAGCATCTGCAGTTCTTTTGGTTTTTATTAAAGAATTCTAAGGATTCACTACCCTCTGAGAGAAGAGCTTCTTCTCATGTGTCTAACCTATATGACCCCTTACTCTGAGATTATGCCCTCTGCTTTCAGACTCCCCCACAACAGAAATCAACCTCTCTGCATCTACCTTGTCAAATCACCCAAGAACCTTGTGTCTTTCAATAAGGTTACCGCTCCTTTTTCTCAATTCCAATAAGCACAAACCCAATCTACTCAACATCTCCTCATATGACAGTCCCTCCATACCCGGGATCAACAAAGTGAACCTTTTCTGACTGTCTCCAATGTTCAATATTTGCCTCCAATATCTTTACTGAGATCAGGGAATCAAAATTCTTCACAGTATTCCAGCCATGACCTCCCTACTTTTATATGCCAACCCCTTTGACATAAAGGAAACAGTCCATTTGCCTTCCCTGTTGCATTAATGAGTCATTAACTTGCCTTTTTATGATTTTTTCCCCTGTTTTGACCCTATTTACTGCCATTTTAAAAAAAAACATTTACATACTTTGTCCCTTCCTGTGCCACTCTGGTTATTATTGCTGCCCTGTAATCTGCCATATGCTCCTGCTTTGCAAGTCTACACTTCACCTCTGCCAAACCCTTCCACCCTCTTTATTAGTGTAAAGGTCTCTCTACAGCCCTAGTTATTATAATCACCAGGACACTGGCCCCAGCACGGTGCAAACCAGAACAGCTCCCTTCTAACCCAATACTGGTGCCAGTGTGCCATGAACTTCCACCCACACCAATCTTTAAGCCACATATTTAACTCCTTGGCTTTATTTACCATACTCGGTTTGCCAATGGCTCAGAGATAATTACTTTGATAGTGGAGAGAGATAGTAGGAACTGCAGATGCTGGAGAATCTGAGACAACAAGGCGTAGAGCTGGATGAACACAGCAGGCCAAGCAGCATCATAGGAGCAGGAAGACTGACGTTTCGGGC